TAACAGCAATGCAATCTCACATTTCCATGATATCTTCAAAAGAAGGCAAAAGCAAGTGTCGTTGGATAGGATCCTTGTTAAAAATTGCATGAAAAGGAAAAGATTTTACTGAGCCAATAGACAGCAATGGTTTAATTAGTGACAGTGAAAGATGCCCTACACAATTACCCTCCTCTCTCTTGTCTCACTCACAACAGTCAAGAAAGTTTTCAAAGGTAAGTGCAGGTTACTTTGTTTTTCTTTATATTTTATATATATCTTTGTTACTTTGTGTTGTAGTCCAGTATTGTCATCATTTCTAAAGAATATTTCTGGGTTGTGGAATGAATCATCTGAGTTTCCACTATTTCTTATGGGGAGATTTGCTTTGTACATAAATACTTTGGATTACAAGCTTGCCTCTGGACCAAATTATGCTTGCAAGCCGAGGTTTTCCTGAATATACAGGCTAAAAATGGCAGGTTAGAAGATATCCAATGCAAGTTGCTAACCAAAAAGAATAGTGGTACAGACATCAATCATATAAAACAAACTTGAAGTCAGAAACTGTCTCAAGAGACAAAGAAAACTGTTTGCCAATGATATAGGTGTTAATTCACCAACATTCAATAATTATGAACATATATCTGCACCTGAATATATAAAGCAAACTTTGACAGACCTAAAGTGAGAAATAGAGAAAAATACAATAATAGGAGAGTTCAACATCTCACTTTTAGTTGTAACTAGACTCACCAGAGATAATATCTGTAAAGAAACAGAGAGTTTGAACTACTCTATAACTGGACTTTACAGGCATGTGGAGAACGCACAGTATATATATATATGATATAGCATATATATGTTCATGGCATCAATGCATATGTGGTTACTGCATATCCCATATGTGAATATTAAATAACACTCTATGGAGCAATCAATAAGTCAAAGAAGAAATTTAAGAGAAAAAAAGTATTTTGAGGGAAACAAAATTGGTAATATAAAAGATGAAAACATGAAATGTAGAAAGAATAGTGTTAAAGTTTATAATGAAGAACGCTTACATTGGCATGGTAAATTTGTCATTGTAGCCTACAGCTAGAGATAATTTTCTTTAATTTCTGTTCACTATCAGCATTTCTGATATAAATACTTTTGACCTTCAAACATTAATAAATGTTATATAATTATATCAGTAAAGAAAAAGGAATAATATCAAATAAATAGCTTATTTACATCTGAGGATACTATAAAAAGAATAAACCATGTCCAAGATAAACTGAACAAATAAAATCCTTTAGAGTAAAGCTAAATGAAATTGAGGATATGAAAATAACCAACAACAAAGATAAAAATCAACAAACTAAGAACTGTTTTTTAAAAGATAAAGAAAATTGACAAATTTCTATCTCTACTAAGAAAAAGATTCAATCAAATCAGTTAAAACATGAATAAAAGACATTATGCCTGATGCCATGAGGTCTAAGAGAAAAAGGATTGTAAGACAGTATTATGAACAGTTTAGGTCAATAAATTTGGCAATCATTATGATATGGATAAATCATTAGGAGATGAGATGGATAAATCTATAGAGACATGCAACCTATCAAAACTGAAACATGAAATAACAAAATTATAAACAGACCTGTAATTAGGCAAGACATTAAAGCAATAATCAAAAAACTTCCAACAAAGAAATATCCAGAACTAGATGGCTTTGTTGGAGAATCTACTCAACATTTATGGAGGAATTAATACCAACTATTCTCACACATTTCTAAAGAACTGGCAAGGAGACACTCAGAGCCTCACTCCATGGGGCCAATATTACCTAATAGCAAAATGAGAGAAAGACAGAACAAGACACTATTCTTGGTGGATATTGACGTAAAAGTTCTCAACAAAAGGCCACCACATGAAATTCAATAGCACAACAAAACAAGTGTGTATATTATACCATGAACAAGTGGGATTTAGACCTAGAATGAGAAGATCATTCAATATATGAAAATTAATTGATGGAAAGCACTACATTAACAAAGTCAAAAACACATAAGCATCTTATTAATGCAAAAAAATTTAATAAAATTAAACACAATTTCATGGTAAATACTTCCAAAATTGAGGAACAGAGGGAAATTAGGTCAACATAATGAAAATCATATATGAATAGCTCATGGCTAACACAAAATTCAAGGGTGAAGCATTGAAAACTTTTGTACTAAGACAAAGAACAACCAAGGATGCTTATTCTCACAATTTATTCTATTTAGTCCTGAAAGTCCTTGACAGAAAAATTAAGAAAAAATAAATAAATAAAAGGCATCCCAATGGAAAAAAAAATAAAATTATCCCTATTTTCAAATTACATGGCTGAACATATAAAGCTACGAAGTCTCCAACAAAATATAGGATGAACTAAACAAATTGAGTAGAATTGTAGTATGTAAAATTCACACTAAAAATCAGTTGTATTTCTATACACGAACAAAGAGCTATCTGAAAAGGAAGCTATGGAGAAGTCTTACAATGGCATGAAAATGAAATACTTAGGAACAAACTAAAGACATGATACAATTGGACGTTGAAATCTTCGAAACGCTGATGAAATAAACTGAAACTGCATGCAACTGAAATGACACACCATGCTTATGGGTTGGAAAACTAATAATATTAAACATTGATATGTCTAAATCAACCCACTGATTCAATATAAATCTTAAACTAAAGCATTTCAACACAATACATTAAAATGTTGCAAAATTAATATGGAACCACAAAAGTCCTCTCAAATAGCCAAAATAGTCTGAAAAAAGAGCAAAGGTTGAGGTCTCATATTTTCAAAATGTATCTTAAAGCTACTATACTTAGTACAATATGGTACTCTATTAAAGACATATAGACCAATGGAACAGAATAGAGAGCCCAGACCAACCTAAACATATACAATCATTTGATCTTCAACAATGGTGCCATAAATACATCATAGTGAAAAGATAGTCACTTAAGGAGTGCGGAAAAAACTGGATACCATATGCAGTCATTGAAGTTGAGACCTTATACACAGAAAATCAACTCAAAATGAGTAAAAATTGAAACATAATACCTAAACCTATGTACTCCTTGAAGAAAACAAAAAGTAAGTTTCAGAACACTCGTCTAACAAAAGACTGTATGACTATTACACCAAAAGCACAGGCAAGAAAAGCAAAAGAATGGGCAAGTGGGATGTAAACAAACTAAAAGCTGTTGCACAACAAAGGAAAGCATAAACAGAATGACAGAGTAAACTACAGAGTGGAAGAAAATATTTCCAAGCCGTCTGTATTGTAACATGGATTATTTTTACAAGGTGCTTGGCTTTGAAGAGAAATAGGGAAACAGAAAATCAGTTAGAAAATTGCTGGTGATATAAAAAGGCTCAGGTGTGTAAAAAGTTAAGAGACTTGAGAGTGTTTCCTGAGGACAGAGTGGGTGGAGATGGAAGGTAGAAGATGTGGGATAGATCAGCCCAGTGATGATGGGACTAGATCTTCCAAGAGACAGAAAGAGTATGGTCTCTAGTTGTGACCATTTACCTATAAAAGCCTCGAGTTTATCTTTCTTTATAGCTGAGTAATATTCCATCATATAAAAGTACCACAATTTTCCTATCCAATCCTCGGTGAATGGACATTTGTGTTGCTTCCACATTTTAGCAATTACAAATTGTGCTGTTATGAACATAGGTGCACATATATCGCTGTGATATGATGTTTTTAGATCTTCTAGGAAAATACCCAGGAGAGAAATAGCTGGGTTGAATGGGACCTCTAATCCTAGTGTTCTAAGAATCTCCAAACTGATTTCCAAAGTGAAATAAATCAGATCTGCATGTGCAAGCACCATATTGTCTCCCTAATGTAAAACCTGAAAGAGTTAATATAAACTTGAGGTATGATAGACATTGTGAAATGATAGGAAAATGCTCAAGGGTAAAGGGCAACTGGGGTGTGGGAAAACAAGGGAAAGAAGGAGAAATTCTGTATGTATGTATATACAGGATAGCTAACATAGTTGTTTTACTGTCTTCTATTTCTTTGCTGAAAGAAACTGTCAATGAGTCCTTGATTGATCAATATTGCATGTCTCTATGTGTTTTCATGAGAAACCACTTTGAAGATATCAATATGTGATACAACAAGCATTGTTAATTTCCCACCACTTTGTTTGTAACTCTGTATTGTCTGTACTGTTCTTTTGCTATTCTGTAAGAGGTTGTCTGTTAATGTTTTCCTCTTTTTATTTTTAAAATAAAAAAAGAGAGATAGAAAGAAGGAATTTGATTCCCAGATAGAACCATTAACATCTACAGCAGATGGATGAACACTTTTCCTCTAAGGTGGGAAAAAAAGATGAAAATAGATGTGGTGCAGATATATTTGTTGGAGGGAGGGCTTGAATTCAAGGTCATTTCCATTGCATGGACACAATTTCCTCTCAGAATTATGAAGGAAAGCACGCTCTGAGGCTGAAGAGCATATTATTGATATATATATACCCTTTCACTGATTTGTTCCACTGCATTTCTTGACTATTTCCAGGGCCAGAATAAGTGACCAACATCAAAGTGCATGGTACAGTCCCTCAAACCACTCCAGCCACCAGTCAACCACACAAACGCATGGCAGCTTTAGCAAAGCAAACTCTGAGTCTGCACTTCAACATCCAAACTACTGTCTACTAAAAAATGAAATTTATTTGACTAAGTTGTCAGTTCTAAAAGAGGACCTACTGTTATTTGGATCAAATAACCTAAAACAAGATTGTTACAATTCTCTTTATATTCATTTGTAAAATTGTGATGCATTAAGACCTTAGTTGTATTTTTATTGAGATCATTAATCCATTTTTTTCTAACTTGAAACTCTTGAACATGGTAAGCAAAGGACTAATTTGGAAGGATTAATTCGACTATTTGGTAGAATGGTATCAGGTTCTGGAAAGATTTCATCCTGGTCCCTTGTTCTGATAATACTTACTCAGATCGACAAAGCCAACATCCACATACATTCGAGTAACTACAGATCCTATCAGAAATGCCCCGATCAAGCCAAACATTGCTACGGATTGCAAAATGCCTGTAAACACAAAACAAATTCGTTAGCTACCAAGAATACATAGTTCTTATTCAATACGTTTTCTAAAGTAACATTTCACATTGTGTTTTTCTAAACAACTTTTCCAGACAAAATAATTAATACTAATATCAATAATAACATTATGATTCAAAGGTACACACAGGGAAAATAATCATTCACTTAATATTTTCTGTGCATTACCTATATAAATAGGAGATTGTCCTTCTTTAGCAAAGTCATCAATATAAGAAATTCCCAGTGGTGCTATAGGGGTTTCCCCTATTCCACGAAGCATGTTACCCATTAGGACATAGATCCACATGTACGACTCAGATTCCTTCTCACAGCCTATGGAGACAAGAGAGTGTTTTATTTTAAGACGAGTTTCAGCATTCTTATCGAATACTTAGGCACTTTCTATCATTTTTTAGTCCTGTTTTTCTTTTCAAAAGAAGACTCATATTCACTTTGCAGAGTTTAAAAATACAGAAAAACATGAAAAGCAACAAAGAAATTTAAAATGTATGTTTTTCTTCTGTTATTTAAAGTACTATTAATGTTGCCATAAGGTTTTTATTTAATGAAAATGTTCAATAAATTATAGGGAATGTATATTCCCTTTTAATAATATGTAAGAAGGTATAGAATCAAGTATATAAGCATTTAATTTGTTTTTTAAAAAGCAAGGAAAAATTATCTGAAATCTCACTAACAGAAAAAGTAATTTCTAATTCTTGTTACACCTGTCTCAAAATTTTGCTGTCCACAAAAATACATAATATTCACTTTGAACCTCATAGGCTTAAATATCCAGCTCCCATTCAAATCAGCTTTTGCAGTTAACACTGTATTCTGACATGTTCACCCTGCTGCTTTCCCCATGTTGTTTTTTACATTAAGATTTTAATGTGGGCATAGTACTGGGCTGAATAACAGTTTCGTAGTCTCATCAATTCTTATATTTTTAATAGCAAGATATTTCTAATTTTTCACTCTGATAAACTGAGATACCTTTGTAAAATTATAAGTAAATATTTGTGAACATTTCTGATGTGTTTCTGAGATGAATGTATGGCAGTAGAGTGATTGAGTTAAATAAGCAGAAATATTTTCATTGTTCAATATGTACAAAATCTTACCTTCCAGAAAAAGTTACACATTTATCACACCTAAAAATGCTTAAAATGAAATCTTTTTTCTTCTTTTACCTTCTTTCTTTCTTTACTTATTTCTTTACTCTTAATCTTATCTATGAGGTAGCAAATCTTCAGAGCTTTAATTTGTAATTATAATTTATGATTTGTGTTACGATAAGTCAAGAAATATTTAGTAGTGTAATAATTTACATTTACACAAAAGCCAAGGTTTCCTACATGTATAGACCGGTTTCTTCTGCTTTGTTTTAAATGCTTATGTTCTTTGCCAATTTTCTACTGAAATCTTACACTTTCTTACCTACTTCTGAAAGTTCTTTACATATAATATGTAAACCATGATTTTACCTGTATGTGAAGGTGAAATGTTCTTTGCTCTGTCCTTTAATTTTTTACTAAGAAGTACCACAATCACCTTCATTGATTTTATCAAATTTATAAATTTGAGGATATTTTCATCACTATTAATGCTTACCTTCTTCCATTATCTCAGGTGATGGCTTAGTGAGTGTTGCAGTGTGATTAATTAAACAAGTTGATATCGAATTCTCTGTTGTGTTAATATGGGTTTCTGTAGAATACCTATAACTGTAAGAGTATCATTAGGTTTAAAATTTCCTTGTTTTCAGAGTACTTTTATTTTCCCAGAAACACAGAAGATTTTGTTTCCTTTACAGGTACCTCTATCTTTTCCAAATTACCAGATTCTGGTATACCAATTAGACAACCTCTGTTTTAGGACAGATGATGGATAACAGCGAAATGAAAATATCGACTAAGAAAGGCCTCTGGCATGTTCGATTATTGCCTTGCTGTCATCCTATGACTGCTTATATTCTGGTTCCAGTATGAAATATTCTGGTTTCACAACTTTATTCCTTAAGCTGCTAACTCTATCTATTTGTTCCTTCTGAATTGTATTCAAAGATGGTCACAGTCTAAGCTTTAATGTAAATTTTGATTAGATTTAATGAACTTTAGAGCAGTATTCACCAAACATTTATAATGCATGCCAGAACACTGACGTTTTCTATCAACAGTCTGACTTTCTTTTATGAATGGGAGCACACACTTACACAGTAATATCTAACTCATCAAAACCTAGGTAAATGAGTTATAATCCACTTCAACTTAATAAAAGAGAATTTAAGGGGCTGGAGATTTAGCTCAGCAGCACAGCGCCTGCCTGGCAAGTGCAGGGTCATGAGTTAGATTCCCGGTACCAGAAAACAAAACAAAACAAAACAAAAAAATAGAGATAGAGAATTTAATTAGGAAGATCAACAGAAATGGAGTTAGAACAGGGTCAAATGCTGATATCCAAAACTATTGATGTTCCTTGTAGCTTCAGTGGCAGTCTACCATGTGCCGTGCATTAGGTTTCACTTTAAAAAACTTGAAATAAAAGACATAGTTTTGTACTTAAGGAAGTTTACACGAAGATAAATATATATGACAATCTATGAAAGTTAATACATATATACAAAGTCTTGAATCATCACAGGAAAGAAGGAATGATCAGTCTTGCTTGAAGGTAGGAAGTGGGGTAGACTTAAAATTCCATATGAGAATGACATGTGAGATTAATATTAGTGATGGACAGGATTTAGTAAGTAGAGAGAGGAGAGAAAGTATTCGAGAGGGCAACAATACACTCAGGAGCGTGCCATTTTGGATCGTCTAAAGCTTTCAAATGTGGTTCTCAGTTATGGGGAGCACTGGAAGATGAAGCTACCAAGATCACTGTGGATGAAATTAATGAGCAGCGTGCATGTGCAAATGAGTTCAGACATTAACCTGTAAAGCAAAGGGGCCTTTCAATATGTTCCAAGGTAATAATAGCAAGAAATGCATTTTCCACCCCAACCACAAATATACGTGTAATCAAAAGGAAAGTTTCACAGACCAGCATGTATCCCTACTTGCATTGTGTATTATTTTCTTGAATTGCATGAAAAAAAATTGTTGGTCTCAGTCATTGGAATTGATTTGTTAGCCCATTAATGAATGGTACCGGCTCTGAAAGTTGAAAATTGCTCTCAGAAATCGGGAATTTTAAGCAGGAGTAAAATAATTCTATTTCTATTTTTAAGTATATACTATAGAGGGCCAGGGATATTGCTCAGCAGCACAGTGCCTGCCTGGCAAGCACGAAGTTATGGGTTTGATTCCCATTACAAAAAAAAGTATATAATGCAGTACGGGATATGAGTTAAAATAGAATGAAACTGGAGGAAGAATGTTCAGGCCAAAAATGACTGAAGTCTGAACTAGGACAAGAACAGCAGCAATGACAAACCTTGTCAGCAAGGAGGCAGGATAAGCAGGATTTTGGCGATTGCCAGTTTTAGGTCTAATAAATAGAGAGTCTGGGATGAGGACCTTGACTTTTGTTTCAGTTTCTTTGTGGTTAAAGGAACCATTGCTAAAAAAAAAAAAAAAGTGGATATGAAAAATCTGAGCTGGTCTTAGAAAAATGGGGAATTCAGTTATGAGAATATGTATGGGTAATGTTTGTGGGATGTTATGTGTGGAGATATACACAATGTAGTGGAGATTATAGATCTTGAATGTTAGAAAATTTCACAATACAAAGATGACAGCCTAAAGCACATATTCAACAGAAATCATGTAGAATAAGGAAAAGATTAATGGGAGAGCTTAGGAGGCAGATGCCGACGTTGTGGTACCAGCAGCAAAAGAAAAAGACAGACATTCTAAAGAGGACACAAAAAATGGACATAAATCAAGGGAGTCTGTTATGCTAAAAATTAGAAGAAGCAATATCACAAAAGTTCTCATATGGGTCAAATGTAGCAAAAAAAGGAGTTAATATAATAGCAAATGATAAGATAATACTGTTAAATTTGGCAACAAGTACTTCTTGTTTGTGGCAAAACTATTTCTCAATATTTGCTGTTCTTTCCCCCAATAGTAATTGAAGTTGAGATTTTTAGGTGGGAACATGGCAGATGAAAATGTCTTTTTTTATTATTAAATTGATTAGTACATTTTAGGCATACATAATGATCTTATTTATCATAGAGAAATTGTACCTGTATGTGATGTAGTTTGATTTTTCTATAAGGGAAAAGGGGAAAAAACAATTTACAAAAGGTTAAAAAGGAAACAAAGCTTTGTAAATAGAGAGGGGAAGATGGATTGAAGGCAGGTGAGGAGATTGGAAAAATGTCTTTCTGTGGTGTGAAATATAACTAATTTCTGGGCCTATTGATGCTGGCCCAACATTATACATCTGAAATATGTCTTTGGCTTCATCTTGTGTATACTCTTCGTTGCTGTAGCTTCTTCTTTATTTTGCATATCCTGTTGCCTGGGTGAACACTGACACATTGTGGGCCATAAGAACAAGGCTATGCACAGCAGAGAAAAATGATGAAATGAAGCAGTATCAAACCATCCTTGAATTGCTAGTCACATTAACTTTTATGTAAAAAATAAGCTTCAATCTTACATGAGGCATTGCTATTTGAGTTTTCCCTCAAGAGTACCTGACTGTTATCACAATTATACAGTGATTTTTATTATTAAAAATCAGATTTTTATTATTAAAAATCAGATTATTATGCTTTTATTATTAAAAAGCAGATCTTAGGAAGATCTGCTTCAGTGCAGTGATGGTGGGAAAATCTATACTGCCTAGGGTCAGTGTGCAGAGCTGATTGAATATAACTTAAATTTTAGATACAAAAACAAGAACTATGTTTGTTATTCCAAAAAGTCAAAATGAACTTATTTACTTCTGATGAAACTATACATTTTATTTACTACTATGCATATTCAAATATATGAATTCCACAGTGAATAAAGAAGTAAATTAATTATTGCATACAAAGCATACCTATTTCTATGCATAGTGATCAATCTCAAAATGTACAAGCATGTATTCAGCAAGGGAAAAAAGATATTGTATTACTAATTTACAAGATAATGACCACTAATAGCACGGAGCTGTTTAACACTTACTATCCCATGAAGAAATGAGGCAAAGCAGTCATAATACTTCCAGCCCCCATAATTGCACAACCTATTCCAATGATTCTCGGCCTGTGTAGTTTGGATCCAAAGTAACTTACAAATACGATCACAAGCAAATTTCCTGGAAAGAGACCAAAATTATATTGTCATGTTCCATTCCAGCAATACTGACTGCCCAATTTTGTTTACACTAGAACTGAAGGTGCAAAATGATTGCAAGTACTGCATAAGGTATAATAATTTTCCTCAAAGACTAAATAACCTAGTAAGGATGTTGAAACTCATACTACAATAAAAGTGTTATTAAAAATTTGTATACACCTGTAATCCTAGCACTTGGGAGGCTAAGGCAGAAAGAACAGTGAGAGTTCAGGTCCAGTTTGGGGTACAAAAGGAGTTCAAGAACAGCCTGGATTACAAAGTAAAACCCTTTCTCAGAAAAAGGAAAAAAAAAGTTGTGTAGTATGAGAGATAAGTAGAATAGTTTTTATTTTTTAATAGTATAATATACCACATGAGTTTTGAGAATTTGGCTTTTGGTTTAGCGTAAGTATTAGACACTAATGAAAGTATTTGAATCATTTAGCAATATTAGTGAAGTGAAATTTTGGTGAAGAATTTGTAGTTGACCGGATAGTATTAAGATCGGAAAAAGATGGAGAAGAACCTTCCTGACCCCAGGAAAAGGTATTCATGCATGCATGTAATTATTCATTTCTAGCATTCCTTAAATTTCTATTATGTGTCTGTCATGGTGTTTGGAGCCAGAAACATTTAAAGCAGAATACGTTATGATACTTGTCCTTAAGATATTTTCTTTACCAGTGATAAAAACAAACAGATTGACAGAGTTACTACTGGACCACAGAAAGAGAGAACTTAAAAAAGTTAAGGCCTTCAGGAAAGCTTCCAGGAGGAAAGTCACTTGAGATTCAATGGTAAGTATAAATTATTTTGATTACAAAAAGGTAATGAGCATTCCAAGTGGAGTCACCAAAAATTCTGTTCCATCTGGAGCTACATGTATTACAATGAATAGACAGCAATCAAGAATTACTGAAAATTTAACAGAAAAAATGTGACAGAAAAGCACCAGAATGATCTGGCAAAAAAAGAAGCATCTAAATAAACAAGAATTAAACAAAAAAGAGGAGAAATTTTGAAAAACTCCATTTGGGATCTCTAGAGCCAGTAGAACAGTCTGCTTCTATAAAATAAGAATTGCAGGCTAAAAACAATAGCAAAATTAAGTATTATTATGGATTTTAAAATTATACAAAAATGTGAAAGTTAGATTTTTACGTGAAAAGATAGCAAACAGCAGTAGAGAGGGTTGATGGAACATTAAAAGGAAAACATTTAGAAAGAAAACATTTTAACTCTCCAGAAAATTAAGCTTCATTTTAGAGATGTCTAACAGGAAAGAAATAAAAAATGGAATAGAATGAAAAGAAACAGAAAATAAATTTCCTAACTAAACAAAGTCTTAGCAATCAGATGAAAAATTTTTCCATTTCCAATAGAAACAATGCACAAGGAAGCTCACAGATATATGGTGGTAAAGTTTCAAGAAGAGAAAGAAGGTATATATTAGGGAAAGGAATCATATTGGTAATTATTTCTCACATACAACACTGAATGTTATAAAACAGTCAAAAATGTCTTAAATGTTCCAAGAAAATATTTTGAATTTTTGATTCCATTTCCAAATTAATGCTTGAACGTGACAGTGAAATAAATACACTTCCAATAAGCAGGGAATCAGAAACATGCCACGCATTCAATTATTTCTAAAAATAATTGCTACTTGAAAATGTATTCCAGCAAACTAAAGAAAAGAGTTGAACTTACAAGAGTCAAGAATCAGAGGTAAGCAAAGGAACTCTAAAGCTCTTTAAATAATTGCTGCTAAGCAGCTGCAAAACTTGGCAAAATATTAGAATTAAGTTATTGATAAACAAGAGAGATAAAATGAATTAAATGTTAAATCTCCTGAAACAAAAGGTATTCTTTTAGGAGTTGGGAAGAACATTAAAAGGAGAGGATAGCCAAGAGAGAAAGTAGAGAGATTGAAAATGATCAAATTGTGTTATAAGTATGTACTGATTTTTCAAAATGGACATCACTATTGCAATATATGCTTTGCAAACATACACTTATAAAAATAATTTTGAAAAGCTAATAAGCTAATTTTAAAATTCTATATGCTTTCTTTATGCTTTCTTTTTCTTGTTTATGTAGTAAGTGGGAGAATGAAATACATAAAGGATGTAATATTTTCTGAATTACAAAAATGCAGAATTAAGAAGGAAAATATAGATATGTTTTCCCCATGCAATTACTTTTAAAATACTCAAATATGTTTTATACAATGATAGATGGCAAACCTAAAGAAAAAATTTGAAATCTATATGACAGATCTAATTTGGGGGCTTATTCAAATAATTAAAAAGGCAAATGAAGAAGAAAATATTAGTAGAGATAATAGTTACTGTGATGATTAATCTTAACTGATAACTTGATTGCACTGAGAAGTGCCTAGGAAATTAGTAAAGCATACTTCAGGGTTATCAGAGGTGATTGGCATGTAAGACAGCAAGCGAAAGGGAAAGACTTAAGCTGAATGTAAGCAACACTATCCAATAGAGTGGGAGTCTGGGTGGAACCAAAAGCCCAGGGACTCCATAGTCCCTAGCTAACATGAGGTGAGTATCTTTCCTCAGCCATACACTTCTGCCATGATATCTGTGCCTTGTTATAGGAATAAAAGCAATGGAGCTGGCTTACCATGAACTGAAATCTCAGAAACCGTGATCCAAAATAAATTTTTTCTCAGTAAGCTAAATTTCACAGGCTTTTGGTCATAATGAGAAAAAATAACTAATAGTGTACAAACTCATAATTTTTTAAAATTTTTAATAATTATGTATGCCTGGACCAGGAATATAGCTCAGTGGCATAAGTGCCTGCCTGGCAAGTGCAAGATCCTGAGCTCGATTCCTGGTACAAAAAAAAAAAAAAATTTTGTACACCTTCACTGTTGTAGGAGAAAACATTAAAATTAAAATGAAGAAAACAAAACAATGCCTTAAATGTTGTAGGAAAAACCCCAAACACAGTTAAAAATAGTATAAATCTAACACAATGTTCCAAAACTCTTCCATTCTCCCCAAATCACAGAGTCAGGTTGCCTCACAGCCTTTCTTCACACTTGGGCATCTTGAGAGACAAAGGCAAAGCTTCACAGTGTGTCAGTGTGAAAGCAGTGAGTCTTGTAAGATCACACTTTTTCAGTATCCTAACTGCTGGGTAAGTGCTAACTGCTGACATTTTGAGCTAGGTAATTCTTCATTGTTGGGGTCTTTCCTGTACAATAAAGGATACTTAAAAGTATCCTTGTTTTCTACCTCAGGTAGAAACAAAACTGTCTCCGTATAGTGCCAGATTGGCTGGAGGGACAGATGGATGTACTCTAGCTAAGAACTAGAGTCATAGAACACATGAACAGTGTTACCTCCTCACATGTGACTACTAAAATACACATAAAATTTACCCATCTCAAATCCTCCATCAATGAAACCAGCAACAGAAGAGGGCAGGTCAAATCTTCTTTCAATATGAGTAATGGCAGTTTTCATACTGACCCCAGCTATCAATTTACAAATAGAGCTGAATGACAGAGCTGCCAAGAACATCTAAAGGAAAAGCAGAAGGAAAAGGGGGGAAAATCAAGGGTTTATATGATGTTTATCGGTATATAAAGTTAAAACAATTTCTCCAAATACTATTTTATCATAAAAACCCTATCATTCTCCAATAGCAATTGGTACTTCTCAGCCATTTTAGTATATCAGCATTGTACAGATAAACCATTTCCTAACTTGGTTACATCACATTTGAGCAATATATTTAAGGCTTTATTTTAAACTAATGTCACGAACTGATTTATAAAAAGCTGGACAGCATTCTCAACTGGACATGGTGGCAAGTCTCTACTTTCTGTTGGATACCAGGCCAATGGAGGGGAGTGACCGCACATTCTCAAAGGCAGCATTTCCAGAAGTGTGGCTGAAAAAGAGAAATAGGGGCTGGCTATAAAGGTTCTAATGGTTGAAATCAAGGAGGAGGGAATTTCAGAAATCATCAGGAACTCTTATGAACATAGATACAAGAATAATCAGAGTCCTGTCCTAACAGAAGCTTTCAAAAAGTTCAGAGAAAAGTTTTATATCATCTGTGGCTTTAATCTTTAAAGAAATGTTAGCTTGAGACAAAACAGATACAAACTCAGAATTCTCACAGTAAAATCTTACATTGGTTGTACAAACAATAAATGGATAACAGATACAAACTCAACCAGCATGGTAGGATCTCTCCAGTGAGCTAGGATTTTAAAAGGGCATGAAATGAGTTAGTTACATTGATGATGTTTTCTTATGTTGTCACTGTAACTCCTACTAATCCTGTTCTTAATACAAGACTTCAACTGAGAGAAGGAGCAATATAATGACTTTCTCAGAGCTTAACAAAATGTCAAAGAAAGAAAAAAGCTAAAATCTTATGATAAACCTTAGGACACCAGTAGCATTAAGATAGAGAACTTTTAATAGTGAGTTTTCAAAACAAAGGCACAAATGTTTATAATCATCTGATAGCTTTTTAAATACTACTGGCAGAAAGAGAAGACAGACATTGAACTACGAGGTAAAGTCTCTGTTTACCTGCTGCCGTGGCAGGTCAGTTATTTATTATGATGAAAGTTCTGGACTTGAAGTCAGAGGACATCTCCAAGTTTCCACTTGCTCACAAGTGCAGTGTTGATGAACTTATCTGAACCTCGATTGATTCACTCAGCAAACATTTGTTGAGTAGCTGCAGTATGGCAGTTACTCTGCTAAGTGATGGAGTTGAAACACAGAGAGTAAAACAAAGACATAATACATTATGTAACACAATGGGCCCAACAAACTAGACAGATAGTGATGCTGTCCTATGTACTGACCATAATACTTGCTCATACAAATTTATTATGCTAAGAAGTATACAGAGAATTAATACAGCGATTAATTTTATCTGCATATATTATTTACAGATGTGATATCTGAGGAGGTAATAAGAGTTTGTAAATTGAAAAATAAATAAAACATTTAAAATAAGAAGCCACCGGTAGTGCAGAGAACAAACACATTTAAAAAACAGAAAGACTATACATACACAACAGAAAGAATTATGAAAAACTTTAAAATCCCAAATATTGGAGGTTAATGTACATGGTAAAATGTGAGATAAAGGCCTTAAATTTAATGGGTTAATTCCAATAGACTATATACATATATACACATATATGCTTAAAATATATATGTTTAAATATATGTATGCCTAAATATATATCTGCAAAGAAATCTATTAGAAATCCCAATTCAGAATATATCTTTTTATGATAAATATAGTTAGAGGGAAAAAAAGAAGTTTTCAGACACACTTGGGAAGAATTTTAAGAGCAAAATCAGATTTTGTGACTATAATGGAAAATAAGGATTCCAGTTTTGTGGCCAGATTTCTAGTTTAGAAAACTGAATATAGGAATAATGATAACTTGGGATGATAAATGCCAGAAAAAGAAGTTTGGATCCTAAAAGCAGTGAAATTGTTTTGCAAGCCCATTTGAGGTGCCTAAAAACAAACATAGACCCAGCAGACACAACTAAGGAAGGTCTGGAGCTCAAGAAAACTGTTTGCCAGGAGGTAGTTTGGAGATTGATCACTTTGCAAACTGCAAAGTGCTTCACCTGGCACTGGTGGAAACTGCTCAGACTTCAGCAAAGACCCTCCCAAATAGAATCACAACAGCTCAAACTCCTCCTGCCCAACAGAGCAGCTGAAGAGAGAAAACAGGGCTGACTGAGCTTTGGAATTTTCTCCCAGTGGTTAACCCATAGAGAGTCCTGCGGTGCCAGAGGACAGTCTCTCCCTTGCGAGTCTCTGGGAACCCTGGCTAGAGCAGTGTTTGGCACAGTGCGGAGTGACCAGGGCTTCCTGGTGGCTGCTGTTTTCACGCTCATCTTCCTTCCACTCCTCTCTTCCTGTGCACTTAGTTCTCACGCTGAGAGGGGTTCTCCTTCAGACCTTCCCACAAGCCCATTACAAGAAAGAGTAACCATTGCAACCAGGGAAATGTGAACTCCAGACAAAAGAGCAAGGTTTTGAGGAAGTATTCTTCTCCAAGGGAGAGAGAGAGAGAGAGAGAGAGAGAGAGAGAGAGAGAGAGAGAGACAGAGACAGAGACAGAGACAGAGACAGAGACAGAGAGAGAGAGAGAGAGAGAGAGCAAAGTGAGGTGTCAACCCCTCAAGAGGCAGCTCTTTCAGCACATACTCACCAAGAGTTTAATAGAAGAAAGACAGCTCCAAAAGAGATAATAGGAAAAGTCTCACACTTTAAACAGTTTGAGGAGAATTCCTTAAACTAAAAGAAGAATCTAATTCTGAAGATACTGAATAAAATTTATGAGACAAAGTGTACTAAATACTCAGTAAAAGTTCGTTTTGTTCTTCCGTAAAAGAAAATAAGAAAACAGAAAGAAAATAGTCATACTATCTAAAACTTAAAATTTCAGACTTAAAAATCAGACAGTAGAGAAAGCTAAAGAGTGATATCATCAAAAAGCATAAGATATATGGCTCAGTCTACCTGAGGTGCTATCACAAAGTATAGTACAGAACAAAACCAGTTAGTTTAGAATAAAACACAGGTCCTCATCCCTATGTGTCAGAACACCAACTACCTGGTAAGTGCTGTCTTCCCACCGCTTTCTCACATAGCTGCAAGGGCCAGAGATCCCCCTCAGCCCGTCATTATAATGGTCAAAATCCCTCTCATATATACTCTGCCTTTAGACCTAACCAACTTCCTAAGGGCCCACCTTCTAATATGATTCCTATGGTGATTATGATTCGAAATGAATTTTGAGGAGGCAAACTCACATTGTAACAACATGTTACAACATTTTGTGATGTAAAGTATAAACTAGCAATTCAAAAACTTAAGAGGCTGGGGAAATGGCTCAGTGGCACAAGTGCCTGCCTGGCAAGTGCAAGGTCCTGAGTTCGACTCCTCGTATAAAATAATGCAAATATCTGCAAAATTAAGGCCATCTCAGTGATGTATATAAAAGCCAGGCATGATGGTGCAGGCCTATAATCCCAGCACCGGGGAGGCTGAGGCAGCAGGATTGTTGCTAATTTGAGGACAGCCTGGACTACAAAATGAGTTCAAGCCCAGCTTGAACTACCTGGTGAGACCCTGTCTCAAAAACACACGTGAAAAAGCAAGCAGTAAAAAAGGAGTATAGAAAGGAGGGGAGATAAATTTTCATAATAAATTCGGCTGTTAGAAAAAATTCAGATATGTCAAGTAAGTGGACAAATTTGCAAGTTTAATGACACATTTTTTCTAAATTAAATGAATGGAAATAATGATATAAAAACAGAAAGAGGTGCAAAAAATAGATTTTGTTATTATAAGGTACTTATATAACCTGTCGAATGATATGAAGTTATTTGAAAGCGGACTTTAATTAGAATTATTTTTAAATATATACACCTAACATGATGGCAAACACTATAAAAGTAAAAAGAATAAGATGCAAAAAGGAAAAGAAAATAGAATTATACAAAATACTCAGAATTGTTATAGCAAAAAAGTAAGAGAAGTCAAAAAAAGAGAATGAAAAAATAGGAAAACTGTAACAAATATGGTACATAATAATCCAACTATATCAGTAGTCACTTTTAATATTATGATCTAAGAATGCCAGTTTAAAAAAAACCAAGATTGTCAGAGTATATAGAAAATTGAAACTCAATTATATGTAGTTCACAAGAAACCCATTTGAAATATAAAATATATTTAAAAAAATCAAAACAAAGAATATTCTGTGCTAACATTCATGTAAAGAAAGCAAGAGTAGCTAAATTAATTTCAGACAGAGGCAATTATAAAGCAAGGAGAGCTATCAGGGATAAATAAGGATGTTAAATAAAGATAAAGAAGTTAATTCTCAAAGCAAACATAGTAATCCTCATTGTATTTGCATCTAGCAACAGAGGAACCAGATTACTTAAAGCAAAAACTGGAATTGCTAAAAGGGGAAATAAATGGAACAACTGTCATAGCTGGAGACTTTAATACCTGTCCATCAGAAATGGACTTATACAACAGGGAAAAATACAGAGGACCTAAATGACCTCATTAAGACTTTTAGTCACCTGGATAAAACCATAAGGACTCAGAAATCAACACACATAAATATTCTCGACTGGTAAGTCCTTAAATATGTCCTTAACCCCTAACAAAGAAACAAAGGCAATACAATGGAGAAAAGATACTCTTTTCATACATATGCAAAATAATAAATATGAATGTACATTTTGTACACTCCACAATTGACTCAAAGTGGATCATATGTCAAGTCTAAAAGACATTTAATTATAAAACTTATAGAAGATAACAGTGGAGAAAATCTAGATGATTTGACATTTGGAAATGCCTTTTTGGAGAAATTCCACAGGTACAATCTATAAAAGAAATAATAGATAAGAAATTGTCAAGAAAATAGAGAAGTCATAGATAGGGAAAAATATTTGCAAAACAAATATTGGACAAAAAAATTGTTTTCCAAAATTTACAAACAACT